TAGATTAAACGCGATAAAATCCGTAAAAGTATCTTTATCAACTCTAGTTTTACTTTCTATTTTTTTTTAAATTGTTTCGATTGCGCTTAGCATTAATTTTAGTATAAGCTGTTCTTGCTTTAGTAAATTTTATGATGAGGAAAAGGGGCTTACTTCTGATACGGGCGCATTTCACGTTCAAAGGATGTCATTTTATGAATAAAATTATTTATTAATATTTACTTTTTACTATAATTTTACTTTTTAACCATATTATCCCACAGATAGAAATCTCACTTCATAACTTTCTTTACCATTATTTATTTCGGGAATAACTATTGGAATAAACATTTTGTAAAGTAAAAGTGCAATATAATTATGTCTGTGAATTCTTTTTATAATTGAAACCAATAAAAAGGTTTTTATTGGCTAACTTTCTAAAACAAAATCAAACTGAGTAAGTAATAAAACCCTTATTTCAATTAAAAAAAATATTAAACATCGTTAAACAATTTAGTTCAAGTATTAAAACGCAGATGATTGCATTTTGATTGTTAACAGAGAATGGATGTAGATGTCTAAGGGCGATAGTATCCATTTACAATCAGATGAATTTTGTGTTCGTTTGTCTTACTTCTTTAAAAAAATCAATCCGTGGGTGTTGTGAGAGGAGATTGTCAGCAGCATATTCTTAAAAACAAGTAAAAAGAAATACAAGACTGTGGTTGCCAACCAGCCGGAGACAAATAGACAGTCAATGACGGAGGCTTGTCTTTAGTAGTGAAAATATTTTTTCTAAAAACTTTACACTAGGTTTTTCTCTTGTAACGGAGGCAGTTTACGTAATATATAAAGATTCATGCCCACTTTCCATACATTTAAAAACCTTATAGTGGAAGTTTATGTATAGTTATAAGGTATAGTAGAAAAACTACATGTAAGTTTAGAAAATAATGTCATATAGTCATTTTTATGTTTTAAACGCCACGAAGCAATTTTAATTAAATATTAATGGCACTTTTTAGGTTAGGATTTGCCGATACCAAATAGGTAATAAAGAAATAAATGTGATAGAACTTATTATTAACTTATCTGTATCTTATTTTTAATTAATCTGTATTATACATTGACTAATAAAGAAATATTTACTGTTTAAATGAAACATAAAATAATGTGTAAAACTCAGAAACAGAATTGAATAAAGTAAAGTAGCAGTGTGTAACATGGAACGTTCTAGAAAAAAGGTAGTTGATATTCGTTCGAAATATGATTACCCTTGACGTAAAATAAGCTTAAAGAAAAGTTAAAAAAATCTACGTTTTTTAATATTATGGTAAGCGTAATTAATTTACAATTGAATTAGCTGCATTTTAAGATTTATTTCATTTCTATACACAGTCATGTGAAAAATGGGCATCTATCTTTCACTAGGACAAGCATCCACAGCCGGAACAATTATTTATAGGCCATACAAATAGTTGATTCGTGCGGAATTCAAACCCGCAGCCCTCAGTGCCGCAACTCATTGCTTATCCAGCTGCTCCACAGAGCCGTCAAATTTGATTGACCCTAATGAAAGTAAAATGAAACATTTATTAATTTTAAAAAGCCGTATAGGCTGAAATACGTCTTTTCATTTTTTTAAACGTCACAAGATTACGTCTGTTTACGGCTGGAATCTCATTAATCTACTTTTCTTTTTCTACGTGGCTGTGACATGGTTCTTTGATGTTGCTTCAAATGTGTCATTTCGCAAATTGGCTGTTCCTATTTCAATTTATGTGATCTTAATATTCATACCTTGCTACTATTTTTCAATATTAATAGTTTATTAGGACACATCTTAAAAATTCCAGTGTGTGCCACTTTATAGTATTATGTTGTATTCTACTCTAAGCATGCATAGCTCTCATGGCTTGCTTATGTACACTCTAAGTATGCCACTAACAGGCATGTACATAAGTATGCACATAATACTTATGTAATTACGCTTAATTACAATACATAAATTCGTACTTCTATTTGCTGCAATAGAGTAGAATAGAATAGAATATTCTTATTCAATAATTACGATTACGAGTAATTTATATTGACAGTATTTTATTACCTTTACCACTTAAAAAATATGTTTTATAATAAAACTACCGACAAAATTTGAATTAAGAATTGAAATAGGATATACGGGCACCGAATTTCAGATAACGTATACTACAAATATATCCGAAAGTCCGATTAACGTAGCCATTGGAGCTTAGATTAGAATCAGAAACGATGGTATATATCAGCGGTTAACCTATTTCCTACTTGCATTCCAATTTTACTGTAATTCATATGTTATTCCTTATACAAAATTTTAATAATATTAGTTATTTATTAGTAAGAATAAGAAATACATTCTCAAATGATAACATCTTCACCAAAATAATTGCGTCATCATCAACATCAACAGATAGGGCTTTCAAGAAATGTGTTATCTGTCATGAAGCACTTGAAAAATTCACCTAATACTTAACACACTGCATCCATCCACCTATTACAATTTATAAAAGTCCACTTCTAAGCATAGGCACACACTGTGCCCCAAATGGCGGATTCTGTCATAGTTGCCACGGTGTGCAATCAGGTTGGCAGCCGCTGTTTTTATAATTTTTGGTTGTTAAGAGTAAAATACTGCTGTACATCTTCTGTTTTAGCTTTATTCTGTCTTTTACGACACCCATGAGCCCTCAATACACTACGCAGGGCGCATAAAGACAGTATTAAAATGACCTATAGAAGTAAAAAAATAATAAAAAAAAATTAAATAGACACATCATGTTCTCTTTAATTCTCTTTGTACTATGTAATTTACTCTAGTACTACTGCGGATATCATCAATACGATATCTATCGCGCAAGAAAACTCCGAGCAGAGCCCTCTAGCTTTATATTTATTATTAAGTTATAATAAGTAATACGATTGTTTTTGTATTTAATTGAAAAAGGACGTCATCTCAAATCAAATTATATTTGATTGTAAATGGAAGTTATAAATGTAGTTTATTCATAGGCAATTGAGTTCATGATCCAATTCAATCACATTTGACTGTAAACTGAAGTAACAAATGATTATTTTATGTTGTTATATTATTTTATTTCATTATTGAACTAAATTGCCTACAATTAGAATAATAATTTGTAATTTGCGTTTACAGTCAAATATCATTGGATGTTAAATAGCGCCATTTTCTGCAGATCGAATAAGAACAATAAACAATGAATATTAGAATATTCATTATAGTTTTGGTATTATAAAACATTATTACATGCAGCCTATGATAAAGTTAGGTATTTATAAATTTTACATGAAAAACATAATGATAAATAATTCATACCTATGTAATTCGGTCCATACTTGTGATTACAAAGCGAAATATGGTTACAGTTACAGCCTATATACTCCCTAATGATGGGCACTGGGACTGCCTCTTATTTCTGGAAAGGTTCTAGGGCAAGGAAGTGTCCGCCCCAAGGCGTGTTTGCAGACTTCATTCATCCTCTCAATATTTTAATTTCTGAGATTGTTATGAAGCAATACATTATCATCATTACATCAATACATCATCATTACAGCCCTTCACAAGTCCACTGCTGAACATAGGCCTCCCCCAAGGAATGCCACAAAGCATGGTCCTGAGCCAACTGCATCCATCGACTTCGTGCATGTCTTACCAGGTCGTCACTATATCTAGTGGGTGGGTCCGCCCTACAATATGCATATCGGTACGAGACTGCAACTCAAGAATTTTTTTTCCATCGGTTGTCGGTTTTTCGAGATATATGGCCGGTCCATTGCCACTTCAATTTACTAATCCTTCAGCCTGTCAGTCACTCTGGTTCTATTGTGGATATCCTCATTTCTAAGTTTATCACGCATAGAAACCCTGAACATAGCCCTTTCCATAGCTCGTTGAGCAACCTTGAGCGTCATCATACGGCCAGCAGTGAAGGACCACGTCTTATATACATAAGTCCTCACTGGCAACACGCACTGTTGTACAATCTAGTTTTCAAGTTTTGAGGTATGAAGCAATATACATACCTTCAAAATATTTTGTTCCTTGAACATGTAGGTTTTTCACAATATTTTCCTTCCTCGCCGAGCACGTATTAAATTAGCAAATAATTATCTATTAACAATTTTATTAGTGCGTAAATTCTGATTTTCAATCGAGAATAGAACAGATGTAAGCGTCTAGGGTTCACTACTTGCTTGAAAAATTCTTGCGGTAATAATTTTTCTTCTTTATGTTAGCCGCCTTTTTAAACAAAAATTTCTTATTTTTTGGGCCTCGATAAAACGAAGAGCGACTCTAAAAAGAGACAACCATATAAATCTGTGGGATTTAGCCTGCGAGAAAATGAGATCTCAAAACATTCAAGGTTCAAATTCGCTATTAGACTGATGTCCTTTTGTCTTTTAAAAAATATTTATATAATAATAAATTAAAAAAAATATTTATATAATAATAAAATAAAAAAACTTCAGGCCATCTAGCGTCTATTTTACGTACCACCTTGAGGTCAATCAATTTTTGTTCGATAAATTGTCTTTACCTATAGAATGGAGTAGATGGCGCTATTACAACGCAATTTTACTCGAAAGAAAATATTTTTTTGATATATTACACAAGAATTAAGCCTAAATAAAATAAAGATTGTAACATTTTATATGCTGTAAAATTAAACTTATCTTATATTTTATGTTGCCCTCGTCGTTCAAAATGATCATATTAAATAAAACATTTATCGAATAATATTTTAATTTTATATTTCATATCATTTGAAGGTTTCACTTCCACTGCATCTGAACTACACACATGAGTTTTTAATTGAGGATTGTATGAAGACGATGTTTGGTGTATTCAAGATTCGCCAAATGATATATATAACTTAAAGCTCTGCCCATGCATATTACGTAGGGCAGACATTTTAATAATATTAACACCGATATCGACAACAATATTACGGTACTTTACTCACCTCCTCTTAACTCACACAGAAGTGTAAAGTTGCCACCTTCTTCTAAAGGACCAACAACGCCAGCTACGTCCCGACCATCTTCATCGTATAACAGCAGCTGGTGTGGGGGCACTACGGACAAATAATTAAGAACATGTACACTGTGAGCACGAATAATAGTACATCACGAGTAATTGTTTTGGCCACTCTCTTGGTGTTCCACCGGATATAACTTGGAGAGTATGACCAGGACTTTTATGCATTGCAATCAGACAACCGGATAAAAAATGCACGGGTTGTACTTCTTTGTTGTCCACATACCACGCATTGCAAAGCGAACCAAGTGGTTTGCTTTGGAACGCGTACAGCAATAGAGTGTAATCATTTACTGTCAGCTGTATTTTTCATTGCAAAGTAGGTCCATTTAAAGCTGAAAAAAATGCTAAATCAGTGGAGCTTTCCTATCTTCGTCTACATATCGGGATAGGATCTAATCACGGGCTTATGATAAACCATACTTTATAATATGTTAAAATTAATTTGATGCACAGTATTGTTACATTATTAAAACCATTCTCGGAAACGCGTTATTGAAGACAACTTTTTTCAATAGCCGAGTGATCGCGGCTTAAAGAATTCATATTATTCCTTATCAATACTATTCCCTAGGTATCGTAAGAGGAAACTATAAGAAAGACCAGAAAGACATAGCCACCGACAAATAGCCGTTTTCCATATCGTATTTCGATAGATTAAAATAGCTATACCGGCTACACGATGCATGTGACTAAGGCAAATTCTTCTTAAGACCTGAGAGGCTTATATAGTCCAGTGTTTCACCTACTTGGGGCTAAAAAAGGAAATTTCGATAATGTTACTAAGTAATTAATTTATTGGCATTTTGACAATAATTATATTTTCCCGTTGTATATTTCGACCACAGCAACGATTTGTAAACATTTACGAAAATTTTATATATATATCTGTATATTAAAGTATAGTGTCTTTAACGTATGTGCTCTAGATATGTAAATTTATAGCATATATAATATTATAAGCATTAAAACGTGATAAAGAGTATATGAAAACGAAGTTGGCTTTCGGTCAACTTGTTAATAACACCAGTCAAAGGACGAACACATGTCCCGCTTGTCAACGTAACTGCTAACGGTTTTGTGTGGAATTTACGACAATATTCGGTTGCAAAAGCCGTAGCCAATGTTGACAAATTACTTTTCAATATACATATGATTCGTATATATGATTAGAGTACATAAAAAAAACTCATGTAATTTTACGCAAGTACCACACATTGAATATAACTAATTTTATGGATTGTGACGACACCATGGCGCAGAAGCTGAACTACGAGTTCAAATCCAGTACGGAAAAAGTATTTGTATGGCTCACAAATAATTATTCCGGGTCTACATTTTTGTCCTTGAAAAATTTATGTATGTTATCTGCCTCCACAATACAGGAGAAAATCCTAGTGTGTAGTAGTTGTTACAAAAAAATTAACCAAACGTTGAGAATTGAAATAGCTAAAATTAAATGCAATAATAATATTTATAACATTATACTTTAAATAATATTTAATACATTATACTTTAAAATTTGCTTAACTTACCAACAACATTGAGACGAATTTGGAAATTTCTCGTTGGGGAGTTCTTGAAGTCGACTCTACAGCGGTAAATCCCCTCGTCGTCGAGCTGCACTGCGTCAACAGTAAGCGAGGATGGGCGGGACATAGTGACAAAGTATGCACGACGACCAAACGCCATAGGGTCCGACCAGTGCAGTGCTTTGTTGAAACTGCGACCGCGAACGTCGAAACTGCAAATAAAATATTTCGATTTATAGGAACGCTTAATGCATTGTAAGGCACCTACAAAAAATAGTTTCGGTGTATCAGGACGTCATCTAGTGATAAACAAATTCATTTTAATCTGTCGAACTGTAGGATTTTACACGGCTGGATTATAGGTCTGCAGAAGATCAAGCAAGAAGAGTTGTACGGTCATCAAAGTTTAAAATTCTCGTAAACTTTTATTTTATTTGTAGTAGATCCACGCTGCTGTTCTATTATGGCTGCAGCACGAATGGGTCACTCTCACTATTGTACCAGTGCTAAATAGTTATGTACTGCAGTATTTTATATGAAGAGTGACGAAAACCGATGACCCTGTTTAATAGTAGCGAAGCATCATCTTAGCCTCAGAGGTGACCAAGCATTTACCTTTTTATTTTGAATCCAGCATAAAATATGTGCTTATGAGCCAAAGTATCTACTTACAAACAGGTGTGTGCTTGTTAATCACCGTTATTAAAAAAATCAAACCCAAACCCGAGTAACAAAGAAATGTTTTTCAATTCATTCTCGAAGTTACATATAATGACGACTACGTAATCAAGTTTCCGAGATGTTTCTGGATATCTGAGTACGCGATCTCATAACCTAGTGGTGTCATAACTATACAATTATGCCATTATTTTCTTTAGAGGCTATTGGTCCGTGATTACCACGTGCGATGAAATTCCTAAAGGAATTGTATCCGTGACATAGTCACCGCTGGTGATAAAAGGGCTGGTACATTTGTCTTTCAAAGGTTAAAATCATCCAGCCTGGAAACGCAGCCAGCATTCTTGGCACTATACTAGGAGGAGTAAGATTGTATTATAATATTTCAATTTAGTTTTTATTGTTATAATAACCGATGTTATAGATAATGAATTTATATTTGGTTATTATCATCAACATCTATTTGAAAAAAAAAATCCAGATGAAAATACGTTTATATACGCATATAATATTTTTGGATAGTATGAAAGGCATGTTATTGAATTCACCTTATTCTTAATGGGCCACATTTTACTTAGTTCCTTTATTTTCAGATTATAATCAAAAATATTTCATATAAAATAACTTTTTGTCCGCTTAATGTCGCACGTCCACTTCGCGCTAGACAAATGCATGCGGCAGAGAAGAGAGCGCTAAAAGCCTTTTAACGTCGCGAGTCCTCGCCCGGGAGACCAGTGCTGGGTCGCTTGTTTCCCATAGCAGTTAACATTTCTGACAAATATCGCATTGATGCTATCCCGTCAAAGTTAAAAAAAAAACTAGCGATTTAATTCTTCCCTGCGCTTCCCGATCGCTTAACTTAATTGATGTTGGTTCATTTGAAACAGCCAAACGTTGACTGGCGTTTCTCGATTGTAAAGGTATATCCAAGATTTATCACTTGTTAAAAACACGCCGAGCAAAGTCTGCTACAAATTCAGTAATCAATAATAGCATCCGACGCGAAACTATCCCTTTCACACAAAAAATATCGTGTGAAATCTTGTGAACGCTTCCTGATGTAATCTGCATAATGTGCTGAATTTCTTTATATGTTATTCACCTATTCTCTACAATTAAATGTCTAACTGCCAAAAATTCTCTTCTTTTCTCTTCTAAAAATAAATGAAGCATTTCATCTTAGTCCTCAGAGGTGAAAGCGCGTTTACATTTTGATTCCTAATTGAGGATAGATGTCGATTTCTATGAGTCACAGCATCCACTTAAAATCAGATGGACTGTGTGCTCATTTGCTACACTATTGCTACAAAAATAGAACGTTTCCTTGTGTAAAAGTAGCTCCATTTTTCATCTCTCAAGTTCATAAGATCGTAAGATTGTGCTGATTTGTTATACCACGGGTACACGTTGCCTTATAAGTGAATTTATCCATAAATGTCATTGTATGTCTATCAAACGAATCGATCGGCTTTAGGCTTTATAAAGCCTTAAAAAACCTTTTGGGGTCTTACAAAGTATTTTTACTTACACATAATCTTAATTTCAAAATAAATTATAACTGGCCTGCATCTCATTTTGCTTTCGCGAAACGTTTTTATGCTGTAGAGCTACGTTGTAGCTATATTATAGTTGTAGCACGAATGGGTCGGCTCGACCGGGGCAGAAAACGCTCTCACAGAATACCAGGGTAAAGTAGTAACGAAATGTTGCTGTTTTTCGTATAGTGAGTGTAGAGAACCGGAGACCCATTTTATTTGAATTGAAGCATTCCATCTTAGTCCTCAGGGGTGACAACCTATTTGCATTTTTATTCTTAATAAATGTAAAATGTGGATGTCTATGGGCCACAGCATCCACTTATTTTCAGGTGGACTGTGTGCTCGTTTGTCACCCAATGCTATAAAAAAATAACTTTCTGCAGACGCATTAGAAACCCGTTAATGTGATAATATCATAACAGTGACCTAGTTATTCTCACTAAGATTATCACAGCTCGTAATTATAGCGTATTGTTCGAGTTTTTTTAAACGTATTCATTATTCTTCTAGAACAAAATAAGATGTAAAAAACAGTTTGATGGTATCGCCTTTGTCATATTTAATATGAAATCTTAAACATGCAATGTAATTAGTCTGTTAGAAAGTCATAGTTTGAATGGACACCACAGGATACGATATTATTAGTATAATAGACCTAGAGACTGTTAATAGTTTACTGCATATGTACACTATTCTTCGGCAGCGACTTCAGAATGTGAAATTCTTTTATTCTTTTTAGCTTTCTGAAATCGCCCTCTTTATCCACAAGTATTTTTTTTATTTTTGAGTGCAGAAACTGAAACAGAAACTATTTTATTCAATATAGATTATAAATAATATTTATTGAAAGTCACTCTTAAGTTTAATTAGCACTGGTTCGAAAAAAACCTCCGTCGTGGGAAGAACCAGCAAGAAACCCAGCGGGACTTTTCTTTTAAAAATTAACAGCTTACAACCATGTATGTTACAAAATTAATCAACACAAAACATATTCTAAATAGTTGAGTAGCGATCACCTCATTCCCAGAGATTAGTAAAGTAAAAAAGTTACAGCCTGTATACGTCCCACTACAGGGCACAGGCCTCCCCTCATTTCTGAGAGTGTTTTAGGGCAAGGAAGTGTCCCTCGCGCTGGGGCAGAGGTTAGTATCATCCATTAATTCCGTAATATTATAACCCATTTTATACAAGCATGTCAAATTTTGTATATGGCGCTAAGGAATATCACAATATCATTGTCTAAATAGTTACATTGAAAACAGTTACCACAATTTAGCAATGTTTAGAGGTGGAATTTTTCTTAATTATATGGGACAACCTCTAAGACTATTTAATGAAAAGATAGATAGTCAGACTACCACCCTCTTTTTCTAGATGGGGTGACGTGACCTGGTAAGACATACAGGAAGTCGATGGATGCAGGTGGCTCACGACCGTGCTTTGTGGCATTCCTTGGGGAAGGTTTATGTTCAGCAGTTGATTTGTGAAAAGCTGTAATGAATGAATGAATGAATAGACATACAAGATAGCATATTTAATAAACTATCAACTACAAAAAACATACATTCGAACTCGAGAGGTTTACCTCTTCCTTTTTTTCAAATCAGCTAAGACTGGCCTTTGATTCTAGTTACTAAAATAAGAAATTAAATTGCCATTCTCTTAGAGCAAGGTCCTTCTCCAGTTGGGCTGATCCATTCGTAATGCACTCGGCGTTCATCACGTAAGAACGAAAGTTTGAATTTATTTTTTACAAAATAAGGGTGACAACACAAGCACACTATCTGATGGTAATTGGATGCCGTTGCTCATAGATATCTTCATTTACTATCGATTAAGAATCAAAATTCATTGCCACCCCTGAGACCTAAGGTAAAATTCCTCGTTTCTAGTAAAATGGGTCTCCGTTTTTCTACACTCACTATACGAAACAGCAGAATTAAACTGATATTTTATGGTGATATTCAGAAGAGCGTGGTCCTTTCCCAGTTGAGCCGATACTTTCATGCTTTAACTATATTAAAGCTATAGCATGACTCTACCAAGCCGTGGTAGCTCAGATGGTTAACGCTCGCTGTAAATATAACAGAACGCGAGTAACCTGGGTTCGATCCCCGCCGGCACCAATGAAATTGTTAATTGCAATTTTAAGTGCTGATTTACCACGTGCTCAGCGGTGAAGGAAAACATCATGAGGACACCTGCATGTCTGAGGAATAAGAAAAAAAAATATTTCGAAGACATGTGAAGTTCGTCAACACGAATTGGAGCAGCGCGGCGGACACTTCCTTGCCCTGAAACCCTCTCAGAAATGAGGGGAGGCCTGTGCCCAGCAGTGGGACGTGTATAGGCTGTAACTTTACTTTTACTTATAACTCTACCGCGTATAAACATTACTACATTAGTTTTTTTTAAATCGAACCGAAGCAAAAATATTGACATTTCCAAGTTTAAGTGTAATTCTTGATCAAATTAAATATTCAAAACCTATCTTGCTCTATTTCATTCATTATTCCTCGGCACTCAAAAGGACTCCTTATAGGTTCTTGTGTTACCTTGTAACTGTTTTAATTATGTAACACTGTACTTTAACATTGCTTCAGTATTTCCAATTCCTTCGAGGTAAATATTGAGTGCCTGCTATTAAAGCTTAACCGAGCAGAAACGACACCGGTTTCTAAAATAGTTTCCGATGGAACAGTTTACTGAAACGTATTATTTTGAATTGGTTGAAATGTAATGGGCAATTGTATAAAATCTGGGGCGCTCGAAGTTGGAAATTGTACTCCTTGAACTGATTAAAAAGCTTTTCCTTTTCTTAGGACATTACAGTCTAACAAAGCATTGACACAAATAGGGATAAACTAGTGCATCAAGCATTTTTTTTATATAGAATAAGGGTTGCAAACGA